ACAGCTAGAAAAATGATTATCTTATATTAGACAAATTGTCTTACATCCATTTTTATTTCTATTATCAAATATGGTATAACAATATATTCGATACTGACACAGTTAGGTGATGAATTGGACTGGATAGAAAGAAATCTCTTGAAAAATAAAGTTTCACGATCAGTTCATAAATTTTTGAACGTCTTCGATAAAGACCACAGCAATACTCTTGCACAGACAATTTCGCGCATTCATTAACGATTATACGCAGCATCATCTCGCTATTGCGATTCATAGTGAGTCACTTTTTAACGTGTCCCATAGTAATAAAATCCCGCGCAAATAATTACAACCGTGTAAAAAAGAATTTAAGCTTTTTATAATTACGAGCAGGCTGTCGAGCTGTCTCAGTACGTGGCAGAGTCACGAAAATAATAGATTAACATAGTTACGATTGAACGAAAGATTGATACTCTTACGATACGAAAGAATTTTGTTACTGAGTTATTTGATGGACGCACGTAGGAGGCATGATGGAAGTCGGTTATGAAAATCCGTAGAATATTTTTTTATTGCGTACAATGACGTTGTCGATGTTAGATTACCATGAAACGGGTTGCCGGAGTTTTTAAGACTCTGTACGCAGTAATGTAAAGTACGCTTTATCTGAGGTATTTTTAAGACTGCAAAGTGTAAAATCAATGCAAAATACTGCATTCTTCTTGCCATTGCAAGTTATACAGCTTTGTCACGCTTCTGCCTCCCAGCTGCGTATATAATTTTCCTAATGAAAACGTCCCACATTTAAATTCATTCTGACGTGTTATTCCAACAATAGAAACAAAAATAAAAGACAAATTATTTTAATAATAATGTTCGTCGAACTTTTCAACATTAAGGATAGGTGATTAAAAATGAAATATTCATTTTTCCTAAAGTTGCGCCTACACCATGTCTACCATTGTTATATAATAAACTTGTTTCACATTTTATTATGTAACATCATTACGATAATTTATTCAATTGCGTTTAGACTGTGCAACAGAACGTGTTAACAATCACCAGTTGGTAAAAAGCTTAAGCCAACTGCTGGTCTTTTATTGGTATTGCATTTCGAAATTAGGTATCTTTTCTACTTCATGTCCAATTTTATTTTCTAAATATTTCAAATCGGAACTTTCGACATCTACAAGGTTTAAAACTTGAGAAAAGAAAGAACCGTGGCTGGGTGGCGTGAATGATGGATACGCTTTTCTTTTTTCTTCTACCTCCCCTCTATTGCATCGCGCCTCGTTCAGCTACCGATTCGAGTTAATTAGCGACGCTCGTATAACGAGGCGATTCGAAATTCTGATTTATAATCCCCTTGAGCTAGGCCGTGGCCGATGTAAATCTCGCCTAGGGATCGATAAACTCGGAGAGAGCTCCGCGAGTTGCATCGACCACTGGCGAAGAGGGTGGTGCTGCTTTATAGCTAACAGCCGGGGTGAAGGAACTCGGTGGATCTTACTTCGCGATGGGCCAAGTTTCCCTCGCGACTCTCTTGTCTATCTACAATACCCGTTAGCTACTATACAAAACTTATAAAACAGTTTAATTACAGTCAACTTCAGCGGTGTTCTGTTTTCTCCTTTAATTCCGGATAGACGGTACATATCAAAATGTTACAGAATTTGACATATAGAGACCGAAAAGATTGAAAATAAGATAATGAAACATTTTATTCCTCCAAGACTCGCGTTGCATTGTAGCAGTTCGTATTTTAATTTTATACGTTTAGTACTTTCTACGTAACGTAATAAAAGCCGGTTTTTAGTTATTATTACACAATTCATTAATGAAACCTAATATGAATGTAAAAGTAAAATGAATTAGAAGGAACATTTCGCTTAATTCATGTAGTACAATTAATATTATGTATAATAAGTAAACGTAATCGATTATAAGAAGACTATAAGAGTAATTACACCTTGAAAGACGCAATAATACTCCGCAGTAATGTACCTATGTATGTTTGATGATTCCTGAGCTCACTCATACGTATGATTATATGAAGCTCTGCGCCGCGCCGCCACCTCGTAAACGCTGATGTTTGATAAATGATCGTTCTGCCCGTTCGGCTCAAACTAATAATGAGAGATTTCGCAGGCAATTTCTGGGGTAAAAATGGGTGCTGATGCTCGCGACCGGGCGAACTTTCACGAAGGGTTATTTTAGGAGGGACGGCATAACTCTCACGCCGGAAGCCACCGGCAATTTTTCTCTCCGCTGCGCGACTCATTACGAAAGTGATTCCCATTTTAATTGAGAATGATGCCTCGCTTTCGTGTCGCGTTGATAATTCGATTTTCCAATCCGAACCTGTTCTAGCTTTGTTCCTAACACGCGCAACCTTCTATATACGTGTGTCCTTTGGTAGGTATGCCGCATCGGATCCGTGACGATTTATTGTCGCTTCCGACGGCATAAATAAGTTCCCGTCCGTTGTGAATCTTTCCATAGATTAATATCAGCGAACACCGTGTTAAATATGATTTCGTGAGATTAAGGAATTACGAGTAAGCGCCTAAAACTCGGTAACTAGCGCGTAGGCGATCAAAAGTTTCGTTTATACCTTCAGGTATCGTGTCCTCGTAAATAATTATACAAACAGCAGGATGCTAATTTCAGATAATGGTAACATAGTCCAAATTGCATGCATTTCTATTTTTAAGCTACACGGTAGAGTTTACAGGATGTTATGCTAAATATACCTGTTGAAGGATGTATATTAAAATCCGGAATCCTCGAGTAAAAACCAAATAGATAATAATCTTATTTGCAAGAAATGAATAATTATACTTACGCTGGCTCGCCGTTTTGCTCTAGGTGCATCACGTTCCCGCTCAGCGTCTCAATCTCCTGCGGCCGTTTCACCACGTGCATTCCGGTTTTTTCCCTCGGCGAGGACACCCCTTTAACGGTGTCCACGCTCACACCAGTATCCGTCGATCGAACGGTCTCGATCGAATCTACCGACACCCCCGCGGACGATTTCACGGACGTGCCGCTCCCGTGATTATCGGTACGAGCTTTCACGCCAGCGCTGTTATTTTTCGAATTGTTACTCACTGCACTATTCGACACGTTGTTCGCCTTCACGGTTGTCGCTTCGGGCTGCTCGGTAACGGAATTACTTTTCGCGTTTCTCGCGGCCGCGCTCATTTCGGATTCGTTCGATTTGGTAACCGTCCTCACGTCCTCTTGTTTCACCGAGACACTCGCGATGGAAGCCACTGTCCTCTGAGTATCCGTACTCGAGGAATTTCTGGTAGAACCGTTCGCCGGTTCCATCCCGTTGCCCTTGGACGAATTGGTCATCGATGCCGGCGGAACCGGGTTCGATTCCTCGATCTTCTGATCGGACAACCTCGAGTTTTTCGGATTCTGCTCGTTCACCGCGTTCTGCAGCTTCGAACGCAACGTCGCCGAACCGGTGCTGCTCACCGCACTGTTTAACTTCGTCACGCTTTTTATCGATTGGCTGATACTGCTACTCTTCGAATGACCGCCGACCGCGTCCGTGGGAAGCGGTGAATTTGTCCTACTGTCTGTTCCACCCTTTGTTCTACTGTAATTACTGTTAGCTTTACCGGGTTTCGAGGTTTGAGAATTCACCTGACGATTATCCTCGCCGTTAACGATCTGAGAGTTTTGCGTTTGCCTAGAGACGGTATCGTCGTTCGTTGAATTGGAAGATTTGCTAACGGACAGATCTTGTTGACTCTTCGTCTTCTCAGAGGGACTTTTCCTCTCGGAGATATCTTTCTCTGACTGAACCACGCTGGCATCGATTTGTAGTGGCTGGACGGCCGTAGTTGCCGTCGTGGTGACCACGCTCGATGTCCCTTTGGCGCCGGACGTTTGTTTCAATAGATCAATGAGATCCAAATCGCCGCTTCGATCGGTACTCGAATTCTTCTCGCTAATTTGAGAACCTTTCGATCCCTCTTGAGACTGTTTACTATTTTGACTGGATTCCGTTGTCTGCCCATTGCTCGCACGCACCTCGTTGGACCCTTTATCGACCGCTTTCTTACTCTTCTCGTTAGCTTGAGAGACATTGATGAACCTGGGCGGATTTAAAGAATTCGAGCTGATTCTATTGGCTTTTAATGGGATTTTGGACGGGGACGTTAGTCGTTCCTTACTGGCTGTTTTGCCAGAAGTGGCCATTCTTTCCTGGTTCTGTTTCTTCGCATTCCACGCATTCCTCGAAGGAGACGGCGTAAATTTCTGTTGCTTCCCCGGCGATGGCCTCGCGGATTCCTTCGAGCGGTCCCTTTTCGTCGCCAGTGGCGTCTTTTCCGGTTTCGTCGGTGTTCCTTGGATCGGTGATAGCTTGCTGGGTGTTTTGGAGACCTGTCGACGTTGGCTGGCGAGGTTCGTCACACTGTTACTGTTTCCGGAAGCGTTCAAACGATTTCTGGAATCCGTGGTATTCAGGCGAGTACGCGAGTCGACGCGACGGCCAACTTTCGGCGAGGAAAGACGCTCCGTTGATTTACTGAGAGACGTTGAGCGCTGCCGAGCCGGTTGCGGAATCAGACTTCTCCTCGGACTGCTGTGTTGCGATACTGAAACTGGTAATGTACAAATTCGACAATTTTCTAATGTTCGATTTCGAAAATTTATTAAAATATTTTTAACGATTTCCCTGTATGTGTTCATTTCAATTTCACTTCTCATGATTTATGTATATAAATCTAACAAGTTTGAAACAAAAATGACTAAGTTAGTATTTAGAAACTTAAATTTTGTAATGTATGGAATAAATAAATAAGATTTTCAACGCGATATCGTCTGGTGAATTCCGCTTGTAATTTACTTTCACTTACACAGTATTTTAA